CACAGCATTTCTCAGCTTTGCGATGCACAGACGAGCATGGCAGTTTCTCATGGCTTGATGATGCGGGCAATCAGTGTGGGTGCTACTTTTTCGATCTCGACAAAGATGGATAACAGATCTCCCTAAAAAAACGTTTGATGATCCTTTCTCATCGAAGTTTTTGCTTCGCTAGCAGAAGAATCACCCAACAAACGTTTCTGCCTCTCTTTTTTTTGAGTTGAACAGCCGGCGCACCCTATCCTGAGAGAGAAAATCAGCCCATGTGTCTTCGGGGTAAAAATGCCATCAAAACAAAAGTGCCATATGAACACAAAAATAAAAATAAAAATGTCATGATAAAAAAGGAACAACGCTAACGCCCACACGTGTGGTGTGAGTCAAACTCGCCCACACGCTCTATAACACAGATGCTATGCCACGTCATGGGATGCATGAATGTGGTAATTTTTTTTTGGATTTTCAGTTTTTAAAATATTTTATCTCTTAAATGAAAAATCCGATTGAAGATCCGTTTTCACCATTAAGTCCCTCGCGACGAGATCTTCGAAACTAGATCGCATATTAATATATTTCGACAAATTTTTTTTGCGGTTAAAAGTTGCCATGTCTATTGCACATGAATTGTCATGATGTTTACACTGAAATTGACATGATATGTTTCAGCTATTTTCTTCTATATTTAAAAGTAAATTTTGACATATTACAAAATGTGGAATTAAGAAATTAAATTTGGCATGAACCATAAACTAAAATTGCCATGATACATGCACTTAAAATTGTCATGGTTCATAAAAAAATAATTTTTATGGTCAAAGTACTGTAATTGCCATTATCAAAAAACTAAAATTGCCATGCTCAATAAACTAAAATTGCCATATGGCAACTTTAGTTTAAACTCTATGGCAACTACAGTGTAAACATCGTGACAACTTTTTGGCAAAAAAAAAATCGTCGAAACATATCAACATGAGATCTAATTTTGAAGATCTCGTTGAGACGGATTTAATGGTGAAAATAGATTTTTAATTTGATTTTTTAATTAGGAGATAAAACATTTTTAAGTCGAAAACCAAAAAGATTCCTGTTAATGTCATCTGTTCATACGTGACAAAATGAGTGGTGATGGAGGCGTGTGGACGATGTGCAAATTGCCACACGTGTGTGCGTTAGTTTTTCCGTAGAAAAGTGCCATCTAATAAAAAACCCAAAATGACATCTTTTAATTATAAAAACGCCATCTCTTAAATAAAAAATGCCATCTCTTAAAAATAAAAAATGTCATCTCTTACATAAAAAATGCCATCTCTTGAAAATAAAAAAATGCTATCTCTTAAATAAAAAATGCCATCTCTTAACAATAAAAAATGCTATCTCTTAATATAAAATGCCATATCTTTAAAATAAAAAATGCTATCTCTTAAATAAAAAATGACATCTCTTAACAATAAAAAATGATATCTCTTAATATGAAAAATGTCATCTCTTAATATAAAAATGTCATCTCTTAATAAAAAATGTCTTATCTTAATATTAAAATGTCATCTCTTAATGAACAAAAAATGATATCTCTTAATATAAAAAATGCCATCTCTTAATATAAAAATGTCATCTCTTAATAAAAAATGCCATATCATAATATTAAAATAACATCTCTTAATGAAAAAAATGTCATCTCTTAATAATAAAATATAAAAATGCCATCTCTTAATATAAAAATGCCATCATGGTTAAACATTCATGTTAATTTTTTTCAAGAAAAATGCCGTCATGGTTAGACTGCCATGTAACATATTTCACAAAAAATGTTAAAATTGCCGTAGCAAATTTTCTAGAATAAAATGCCATGTAGCAAAAAAAAGAGAAGGGCTTGGGATTCAAACCAATGTCTACCAGGAGCAAAACTTGCTACGCTGTCAGTGCAGCGCACATGGTTGATTTGAGAAGTAAAGTGTTCACTGGGTTTTATGGTACAACAAACTATACCTGGCATATCTTGGGCCGGGCCAAAAAAAATCCCGGTGCTAAAAACCCAGGCCCGAGCTTGGCCCGGCCATCGGGCCCGAGCCCGAGAAAGCCCGACACGCCCGGTCGGCCCGTCCCGACCATGGCTAAAAATGCATTTTGTGCAGACCTG